TCTTGTAAATTACAAACTGAGCCCAGAGAGGGTAAGGGAGCTGGGCTCCAACCTGATGGAAACGAAGATGACACGAACTGAGTCCTATCATGAACATATCTGACTATATCTTTGGAGTTATACTGGAGATATCTATTAGAATGATTTTTTTCGATTTACACTCGTACCAACAGTATTTATCGATTTTTTTATCATAGCAAAGAGAAAATGAAGACTATTACGCACTCACCTTGTGAACTTGAATTTTATTGTGTGGGACTTGTTTCCAATTGAGACATTCTTCATATGTTGATTTATTGAACCTATTTCGAGAACAGAAAGTTAATTATCTAAAGACAGGTAATAAGAGAAATTTACATTTTTTACCATTGATTGACTTTAATAAAAAATGTTTTAAAAAGAATATACATGTTGCAAATCAAATGAGAATATTTTTAGGAGATTTTTTTTGGGAAAACAGTATGTTTGTTTTCTACTTCTCCAACATCGAATAAAAAATAAGGAGAGCTTCCAAAGGAAAAAAAAATTGAAATAAGAACTCTTGCGATCATTGGTTTGCAGGCATGTTAGGCGTAAACATTCTCGAACCATCAGTCCACCCTTTCGTAACTGTGCCGTGAGTGTCATACCAAGTTTTGTCCAAATCAGAAATTTGTCGTTGTTCTCTATATTTAGTTATTTGTTCTAAGTATTTGTTATGCAATTCCACTATTCTTCTGCTTTACATAACTGCTTGACGTATGTTTGTTATTTTAAAATCAGTAACAGTTCATTTATTTTTAATTTTATTGTTTGTTTGTAGCATATCGCTTATTTCTCAACACATCTATCAATTCATTTTCATTTCACGTCACGATAATTCGTTTTTCTTTCAAATTACTGTTCTTACATTTTTCATTATCTATTCAGGTTTTCGATTTTTTTTTCTCATTCTTGACATTATTTCTTCTGTGATTATTTCTTCTGTGATTATATACCGTCGAGTAATTTTTAATAGCTTTAATGATTTTGATATTCATTCGTTTCAAATTTATCTTTTTTTCCATGGATTTCAAATCTGTTAACTTGTTTCCGAGAAAGTCCGAACCTACAACATTCACCGAAAAATATTGTCAATCGCAATCAAGTAAATGTTGAAACAAGTATTTTGTCATTGAAAAAAATTATCATTCATGGATTCACTCTTCAATTCCCTAAGAATACATTTAAGCTGAACTGACTGTTTCATATATTTCTGTGTGTATTTTTGTGTTTAGGGTTGAAACTAAAAAAATACAATATATTCACGCACTGCATTGACTAACTGTTGTTAACTCAAAAAGAAAACTAATTTTCTTCTATCTTTTCAGATATAGGAAGAGTAATGTAAAATTGTATGCCGAAATGATAATTGACCACTCAGTGTGGTAAAATCAAAGATATGATTTCACGTCGCCTTGCTACAGAGAAATTTAAAAATTGATTTCTTGTTCGGTTGTCGATGTCGAAGCTCAGCTTCGCAACGAACCACCTTGGGGAGCATAGTTCATCTTCGATATTCGTGTCTCCTGTCGATTTCACAGATGTTGTCTTCGCTAGGGGAGAGATGCCATAATCCTTAATTTAAAGACCATCTTGCTGCCTTACAGTGACAGCTACAGAGCAATATAGGAATCGATTTCTCGTTCAATGTTGGATGAATGAGGTTTGAGTTTTTTGCCCATTAGAGGGTATTTGTGCAAGGAGGTATTTCATTCTTACCTAGGCTTAGTAACAGGCTTTCAAGCCAAACATCACCTGCATTTTTATAGTATCGTCTTCATTGCTTTTCTGAAAAAATCAATTATGAAAATATATATAGGTATACCATTTGCAATTTGATGAAACTAGAACTGTATTTCCGTTAGCCAGCGGTCGCCCCCCTAAAAACGACATACCTACAATATTTTTATGGTTATATGTATATGTCATCATGAATAAATGAATGAAAAAAAGACACTTTCAAATATTCAATCAGAAATTTTTAGATTTCAATTTCAGATTCAAGTCTTACAAATAATTTCACTGTCATATAACAGAAAACATTGTCAACCATATATTGAGGAAATGCAGTTTAATCGATTTTCAAAAATGGAACAGCGATGAAATCAATGTTTATATTGAGATGGAAATTATTTCATCAAATGTTGTATAAAACAACCAATCTTTTAGAAAAGTTTGTTGTCTAGTAACTTCGATTCAAACGTTTTCCAATTCAAATGATGATTCTTCATTGAATATTCTGTAGAAGTTCCACATTATATGAAAATGATTACGTTAGCTGAAAATATGACACAAAAGATTAGCAAGAAATAATAACAGAAGATAGGAATATACTCGTAATTGAGAACATTTCGTGGATTTCATATAGGTATCAAAATTGAACCAGAATCACCTAATTTTTATTCCAGATTAGAAATCACACGTTAAGAAGTAAAACCCCGTGGATCCTTTGCGTTAACAAATTTACTGAATACTTCTGATAGGTAAAATATAAAAAAGGTTTATTGTCTAACAGGAGTAAACCCAATTAGAAGACAAATATAATTAAGTTTACAGCTATGACTAAGTATGAGTACAATGAAATATAACGAATTACATATAAAATCAGCAGAGTAATATATTATACAAACAGTGATACATTCATATAATATTAAAAAAAATATACTGTAGAATTCTAATAGAATTGGCAATGTGCAGAGAGTTGAAACACAGTATTTTACTTATGGGTTGTAATTAGATTGTAGTTCGACTTGCATAAAAAATAGTTTGTTACGAATTATATACTTGAAGCGTCCAAATGGAACAACAAAAATATCACATTGTGAATAGAAAATATTATAAATTTTACAGTTGTTATAAACTGGAGATTTTATTGGCACGTTGATCCTAGGCAAACGCAAATAGAAAAATATTTCGTTTCTACTACTTCGTCTCGGTACGTGAAAATCTAGTTGAGATAAATCTCGGCAGTCAACCAGATTATGAATCAATTTATATATGAAGATACAGGCATAATATGTTCTTCTGTTTTCTATGGATAAGGGGGCAAATCTATTTAGCAAAACTCTATTATTAATTTCTTGGGATGGATAAGCTCCACCCAGTTTGTAAGCCATGAATTTCATAAAGATTTTTTGACAATATTCGAGTTGCTGTATATGCACATTGTATATAGGTGACCAGATTAGGGAGCCATATTCCAGACGAGATCGGACATATGCATTTATAAGTGTTATAAAACATTCTTGCTGAAATGAAAAGTTAATAATCAATTTCCATACCCGAAATTATTCAGTATTGCATCCAGCAGATTCTTTAGTTTTGAAGGATAGTTTGAATATGTTGTTTTTTCCGTTAACCAGCTGTCGCACCCCTACGAACGACAACCCTCAGAAGTCAAATCTTGTGCGAGCTAAGGACTAACGAGGTCTTACCTTTTACCGTCTGATTCCTAACACAACACTACAACTTGCACTACAACTTATACTAGAAAACCTATTGAGATCAATGATTCGATTCGTTTCAATCTCTCAGTCAAAAAATCAAAAATCAAAAACTCTGCTTTACTTTGCCAAGCTTTCGCTTCTAGTGGGAAGCTTCTTCAAGGCCTATAATTTATTGAGTTGTGGGTTTTTTTTGTCAAAAAATCAAAAATCAAATCTCTGTTCTACTTTGCCACGCTTTCGCTTCTAATGGGAAGCTTCTTCAGGGCCCATAATTTATTGAGTTGTTGGTTGTTTTGCCATCGAAAAACATTACAATTCATACTTACAGTAAAAATGAGTTGAAAACAATAAATTGAACATATAAACTGACGGAGAAGGTTGAACATGTATAAGATTATTTTGGGTTTGACAAATGTCATACCTTTACATAAATGTCATCTTTCAATGGGTATGATGATTTCATAATCTTTGACTTTAAGAAAGAGTTATTGATTGATACAATTTTCATTATTATCATGTTTTTGATGTAGTTCCAGTAAGTTACTGTATATATTGCTGAGATTATCAATGCCAGTTTTCTTATTCATACAAACAGAATACTTATTAATTTCAACCATTTCAAGAAAAAGGCGTTGACAGTATATACTAAGTACATGTATATACTTTTCTCTAAGATGTTTTACGTTTCGTAAAGTATTAGATATTTTTTTTGTTATATGTCAAAGAAACATCGACTCCTCCACAAAAATATGTCTTTTAATACCATATATCAAATATACATCTTCATTAGAAAAAAGTCAGGGTTTTCAAGTGAAAAATATCAATAAATGTCATGAAAAAGCAGTAAAGTTTTACAAAAAGTTTCCTTTGAAGATTTGGAAGGATCAGAAACGGCAAAAATTATCCAACATATATATCAAGTAACAAACTGACACCTTGATTTCAATGAAAAAAATTATCGTTCTTTTTTTAATAGTATCGTCTTCATTGCTTTTCTGAAAAAATCAATTATGAAGTTATGCACAAGATTTGATTGCCAAAAAAATATGTTGAAGACTATTGAAGGTTATAAAATCAATTGGTCAAAATACTTCGATTCACATTTTTCGTAATGAAAAATTGATGAATATTCTGATCTCGAAAAATAAAACGTTGGTGGCTAGACACATTGGTAAGCAAGGGAATCGAATTACGTACTGATAAAATTGCATAGTTAGCGGCGAGACTTTAAACGTCTGCCAGACTGTTGGAGAATGAAGGAAGTAGTTTTCAATTTTCACATATCGAGTAGTATACATCAAAGAATTGACCTTCGAATCGAATGCGGGCCGACCAATAATTGTAACATCCAACGAAAAATGGTGAGGGACAAACGGCCCAGGAACGGGATCACAGACAGCGAGGGCGGCTACAGACCAGCTCCAAACCAATCTGCAAATCGCTCCAGCACCCCTTGGTGGGGAGAGGGCAAGGAGAGGGGGCTGTTATTGGTCGCGCACCAGGTCTACCAAGTGTTGGCTGGTGGCCGTCATAAAGAGGGTAGCGCTCTGTCTGCTCTCATTGACCAGTTGAACTTCTCTGCGGACATGCTCGCGATCGTCCTGCTGTGTGTCGTGCTGTGTATTTTCTATTGCAAAAAACGAAAGAGTGATTCTCTTCCTCCGGGTCCTGCGCCATGGCCTTTGATTGGCAGTCTGCATTTATTGGGACAGCACGAGACACCTTTTCAAGCGTTTACCGCTCTCAGCAAAATCTACGGAGACTTTTTCAGTATCACCCTCGGGAGCAGCCGTTGCATAGTTGTTAACAACTTCGATCTCATCAGAGAGGTCCTCATCACCAAAGGAAAGGACTTCGGGGACCGTCCAAATTTTCAACGATTCCACAGATTATTCGGAGGAGACAGAAATAACTGTGAGTATCTTTTTTTTTATTATAAATCGTGATTTCATTTTCGAGCCAGTGATTAATCGATGAAAAACTTTTCGTGTCTCATTGCCAATTGACATCTCCGAAGCTCTTTGAAAATTTGCAGAGCGGAGCATCGGAAATTCGAGATATTTGAACCGCGACAGTATCCGCATGTTAAATAATTTCCTAGCATCAGCGCATTAGTCCCGTTAAAGTGAGTAAAAAGTCGAAGAAATCAGCTTGCGATCAGTTATACACATTCCACACAAATCGTTGGGGTTTAATGAGGTCAAGTCGGTTTTTGTTGATTACTTGCTACTTTACTTTCTATCAAACAGTGCTCGATCCATTCATACGACTGCATACTCGATTGCCGTGAACTTGAACTTGAGACTGATGAAACTGAATCTGATCGATACAACCGCTGTATTAATATTAGCATTTCTCCCGCTTCATAGACAACTACGGTACGTTATAATCGTGCCAGTTACCATTTCAAAAGCGAATCGGAATGGAATAAAATTAGAAATAAAGTTGAATGAAAGAAAGATGGAACGAAACGGCAAAATAAGTTCCACTTGTTGAAAATCGAGAATGTTAATGGCAGTCTAGAATGCAATGTTGGCACACTACATGGTTTGTGTGGCACAGGTGTATAGTATGGTCACGCGCCTCAATGGGCATCTGTTCCGCGAAGAAGTCTGGCGTGACACGACGCGTGCCGGACATGATAGGCGAGCCGCGACCCGACCTTGAGACTAGGCTGCGTTTTTTGCCCTCTAACCCGTACGTTTTGTTTCAGCTCTAGCCCTCTGCGATTGGTCCGATTTGCAGAAGAAGAGGCGCAGCATTGCGAGGAGTTACTGCGACCCCAAATGCACATCGCTCAAGTTCGACAACGCAAACGTAGTCGCCATCAATGAGATGGACTTATTTATGAACGAATTACAAAAACTGCCGATGAACGAACCCGTGGACCTGAAAACCGTCGTTTTGCAAGCATGTGCTAATATGTTCACGCAGTACATGTGCTCTACAAGGTTCTCTTACCAGGACGAAGATTTCAGGCGGGCCGTGAGGCATTTCGATGAAATTTTTTGGGAAATTAACCAAGGCTATGCTGTTGATTTCATGCCCTGGCTCAAACCGTTCTATGAGGGTCACATGAAAAAGTTATCGTTCTGGGCACAAGAAATCCGTACATTCATTTTGGAACGAATTATTGACAGTCACAAGCGAACAATTGACTATAACTCGACTCCTAGAAACTTCACAGACGCCCTCCTGATGCAATTACAAGAAGATTCGACATTGAACTGGGAACATATCATGTTCGAACTAGAAGACTTCATAGGAGGACACTCTGCTGTTGGAAATTTAGTCATGGTCACTCTAGCAGCCCTGGTGAAATATCCGCATGTCGCCAAACGAATTCGAAAAGAAGTAGACACAGTCACAAAAAACGAAAGAATTCCAAACCTATATGACAGAGCCAATATGCCATACACTGACTGTGTTTTATGGGAAACTCTCAGGAAATCGTCTTCTCCAATTGTTCCGCACGTTGCCAGCGATAAAACTGAATTACAAGGATATGACATACCGAAAGGAACTACCGTATTTATTAATAACTACGAACTCAACGTTGGGAAACAATACTGGAAGAATCCGGAAGAATTCATGCCTGAAAGATTTTTATCGCCCACTGGAGTAGTTGTGAAACCTACACATTTCATACCTTTCAGCACAGGAAAGAGAACATGCATCGGACAAAAGTTGGTTCAGTCATTCAGTTCAGTAATAATAGCCAGTCTTTTGCAAAAATATGACATAACTGGAGGATCCGACGTCGAGCTAAGGGTTGGCAGCATGGCAGTACCACCGGATTGCTTCAAACTGATATTGACACCTCGAAAAGCGCCTACTATTCCAGAGGAAGAATAGACTAATTTTTCGCGAATTTGAAGACTAACAATATTCAAATCATGAGATTGTAATGTCGCTCAGGATGAAAAGTACATACGATTAGCAGCAGTAGTAAACCTGCATACCTCCTTATGCTTCTTCAGGAAGAATATTAACGGGTCAGCTGGCCTTCCTCCACCGGCTGAATGCGGAGACGAGGACAACAGGCTTTCAAGCCAAACATCACCTGCATTTTTCATTAATTTTATTATCATTTTATCATCATACATTGTAAATATATTTCATGTGAATTTATTGTAAAAATGTTTTAATAATAATTATATACATACTCCAATACATATTTATATGTTACGTATATTTAAGATACATTGTTTTTCCGATATTCATCCATTGAGAGTTCTTCGAATGTCAGATGACATCTCGAATGATGGCAAAACGTCGACCTTCGAATAACTTTTAAAGGATGAATATCCGGAAAAACAGACCAGTATATTTCTTCATCTGTGAAAACCTACTCTGTAACAAATATAAACATATAAATATATTCATCGGAGTTTCCCCAGTGGTAGGTCTAATATATTAAGACTGAATAAATTGTGTATTTTTATTTAAACTACGTGTTTTATTATCTTTCGGATTGTCACAACTTGAACAATTTGTTTTTACGAATACTTTTTTACATTCGATATCAGACATGGTAAAAGTCAAGAACAATTCGAGGTTAAGTTTTGGAATGCATTGAATACTGTCAGGTATATAAAAACAATTCAGAAAATTATGGCATGGGTCAACAAATCAATAAAGCTATGTATTCAATGATTTTCCTGTAATTTTTCCCTCTGAACAAATGTGCCATCCAAATGAATCGATTCCAATCAAAAACATGAAATTAAGAAAATTCAAATGTCAAAACACTAGAACAAATTTATAAGAAAGGCTCTGAATAATAATAATGATAATAATAACCTCAAGAGGAAGTTCACTCAATGGTGGTCTTCCACTCAACCCTTGTCATGGTGTGGAATACAATTTTTTAAATTATGTTTTTCCTTTATTATACCTATTCTAAACAAAATAACTCATATAGAGAACCCATTTTAAGTTGAAGTTCTACTTTATTACCCTAACCTAAAACTAAAATAGAACAGCATACGAAACCCATTAGAAAAGGAGTCTGCAAAATACTGGTGCGAGTTCTTTTGCGCACTTTTTTAGTACGATGTTTGGCACTTCATGCTAGGGAACAAAACAGTCCAACTTTTTTGCAACCACATTTAGCACTACATCTCTTTTTACAGTAGCAGAAAATTGTGTTTAGCAGTCTTTCAGGCGCAGGTGGGAGTACAGTTTGAACTGGTTTTAATGTATTGTAAAATATGTTGATGAGCAGCCACTGAGGTTGGAGGAAGAAAAGCGAATTGCACTTGTTTTTTATTTCCAGTATTTTTAACGAAACATGCATATCGAAACTCCTCTAAGCAACAAGAACATAGGACTTGTGCTAACTAAGTTGAACTTCGCCTTTTGTTATGTCAGCAACTAGCTCTCTAATTTATTTAAATATTTGTATGTAACTACAGCTGGGTAACAATAAAGACGCNAAGTTTTCATTGCTATTAGAAAGTGTGGAACGAATATGGAAACTAAATTTTGATCCAGTTAATCTGGACCGATTGGACCAAAACTGTACATAAACGTTTGGTTTTCGTGAATAATCAAATGCCGCCATTTAGAATCCAATATGGTGAACGCCACAAAATGGCGATCTATAGTAACACCTTCAACATGGTCGAATGACGAGAAGATGAGTGAAATATAAAATGTTGGCGATTCATAATTTTCATATTAGTCTTTGTGATATAGATAACTTATGGAGGATTTTGATGAACAGAGCGACGTCATTTTGTATGCAATAATACAAACGCTGAAAAGAACTTGTTTTAATGATTGCATAGCAGAAGTCCTATCAGGCTAGCATGGCGAATCCAGCAAACTTGCAAAAAAAAAGCCAATTTGTAGCTAAATAGTTGCTAATTAGTTGCCAAAACAAAGATTTTGTTGCTTGTGCCGATCCCTAGAAATCGCAAATAATGCTATAGTGATATGAAGGTAGCAAAATAAAGGTAGCAAATAAATTATATACTTCACTTTTGATCTTTACAGAAGATTCAGTTACTATTCAGTTGCTAAACCTTGGATATAGCAAAAAAAAAATTTTTTTCTGATCTTGCTATCTTCAACCTTGTTTTTCCTGGAATTAATGATGTTCTAAATTTGTTGCTCACCAAGAGTATACTCAAATACACCTTGAATATCAGCAACAAAATAGTTGAAACTGATCGGCCGATTAATTTTTTTTTCTTTTTCCTCGTTTTTGCTATTTCGAAACTGGTTTTTCTGAGAATAAAACATGTTTTGAATTTGTTGCTCATCAGGAGGGTACAAATAGTTAATACTGATCAGCCGATTTTTAATTATTTTTTTATTTTTCTCATTCTTGAAACCAGTTTCGAGATAGCAAGAACGAGGAAAAAGAAAAAAAAAATTAAAATCGGCCGATCGGTTTCAACTATTTTGTTGCGGATACTCAAGGTGTATTCGAGTATACTCTTGGTGAGCAAAAAATTCAGAACATCTTTAATTCCAGGAGAAACCAATTTCAAGATAGCAAGATCAGAAAAAAAAAATATTTAAAATTTTTTCGCTATATCCAAGGTTTAGCAACTGAATAGCAACTAAATATTCTGTAAAGATCGAAGGGAAAGTATATAATTTATTGAGTTACCTTGCTACCTTGATATCACGATAGCATTATTTGCGATTTCTAGGGATCGGCAAGAGCAACAAAATCGTTGTTTTGGCAACTAATAAGCAACTAATTAGCTACAAGTTCGATATATTTTTTTTTGCAATTTTGCTGGATTCGCCTTGCTAGCCTGATAGGGCTATTCTAGGTCATTCCAGTAAATGTTCAACCTGTTCAGCATTCATTTCCTGACAATAAATCACATTTACAAAGAATTTCTTACATCGTGAAATATTATATCCATGAGTTCTAGAATGAACTGAGTTTGTCTTTTGATTTTGAAGGTCTGAGGGTCATATCAGGTGATCTAGTGGGCTACTCTAAAGGACCACGCCGGCTAGTAGCGGACTAATCAATTGTCATCTATTCACTCTCATATCAGCCTGTCATAAGGAAACGTAAAGTCAGATGAAAACTCATTTGAGCTTGTCAATTACCTATACCAGTAGATAGACGTGGTCCCTCAGAATGGCCTGGTAGATCTTCTGATAGGAAGAATTTAATTTTTTTCAGGGGTACGTGAAATCTAAAGTGTACCTTAATTTAATCCAAAAATATTCCAAAATGTATGACAATATCTGTATTTATTGTTATGTTTATGTAAAAGCAGTTGTTCCGAATGGGTTTCCTTTTCAGTTTGTATCTGGAAGTGACTTTTATGCATGGCATAATACACACATTTATTGGGATGAACTCGGGGGAGTTTTGAGTGATTTCATATGATTTTTTTGCAGAAACTTAAAATGAATATAAAACTTCTAATTTGTTGGAAACGACTGATTCGATTTCCAGTTTTGGATAGTGAATGGGCTATAAACAAAGACCTCCTTTCCATCTGAAAAAAGTTGATGGCACCATCTCGGCGAAAAATGATGCTTCTTTACATAAATTTCTTCCGACCTCGACACAAAAAAAGAGGGAGTGAGACTTCTCACGTCCGAACTGTATACCGTATCCTCTTTCAAGCGAATTCCAATATTCTGTTTATTTTGACCCACATACATTTTATCGCAATCATGCTTCTTTCATTTCTAGTAATATTTTATGTAAATTTATTATTTCCCAATATTGCTATTCTAAACTCAATCGAATATTTGAGAATTTTTCGAGAATCAGTGGTTTGAATGGTGAAATATATCTCAACAGAATTCATATTGCCTGAATATTATTTGAAGAGGTTAATGTTTCAGTACAACTTTAGTAATTTGCCCTTCTATTTGAATAATTTAAATTTTTTTTATTCCAGTTGCGTAGAAACGTATAAATGCCAGAAAAAAATCCTATTGTTTATGTGAACATAAAAAGAACAATTCATTTCAACAACTAATATATTCATCAGCAAATTCAATATGGAAACGAAAAATGAATAAAGGGATAGAATCCAAGTTGTCAATGATCTATTTTGAGTTCTGAACAATGAATGAATGAGGTAAACAGTTTTCTGTCAACTTTCCTTTCAAATTCACAAGTAAAATTGGAAATCACATATGTGCGGTTGTTCCTCAGTTGTATTTCACGCATACAATTATTAATGAAAAAATGCCATTCATAAATTCTATGGATAACATTCCACCCAGTTATTTCTGCCGCTGAAGAAAATTGAATTATATTGGGTAATTACTTTATTGTTCATAAATGTTATTTGTATTACTTAGCAGGAGGGGTGGAAGATAGCCATAGGCTAATCCCTATCTTTTGTGTGTAATTTATGCACAATAAAGCTATTATTATTATTATAATCATTAATAGAATCTAAAAAATTATCATCGATCCGATACCTGGATACAAAATTACATGAGGTCAAAGGTCACTAAAACGGGGTTTTCGTGATTTATCGAAAAACGGCTAGTTTTATCATAAATGTAGTCCGGACAAAAATTGTAGATCAGATGATTATCTATAAAAAAAGTTCGAATACTTTTTTCCTGAGAGCCACTGTTTCTGAGGTATAATGATTCAAAAAGTTGGAAGACGTGTAATCGTCATAACATGCACACGTTTCCACGCTACCTTTGAAATATTGTACTTAGCGCGTTTTTTTAACGTGGTTTTCCCGGCAAGCCTATTCCACGGATCTGTTGTATTTGAAACTATTGAATGATAACAGATATTGACAAGGGTTGAAAATGGTGTAAATTAAAAAAAATAAGGAAATTTATTCGTCTGATTCATAATTCTCTAATACTTCTGCTTCCTCTTCTTCTTGTTCTTCTTCATCCTTGGTGCAAGTAAATTGCCTCAATAGTGATTCGTCGCATGTCTCTTCGTTGGTATCAAACGAATCCTCAACTGTTGGTGATTCAACAATGGAGCACGACGAGCTTGTTTTTTTTAAGAACAAAACACAAGCACTACAGGAAAATCCTTAAGGTGCTTTCAGAGCGGTGCCTGTGCGAAAGTAACGATTCATATTGGATTTGAATCTGTGGAGATTGAATCCATTTAGGAAAACGTTCTCAGAAAGTTTATTCCACATAAATGCAGTTCTCCAGATGAAAGAGTTGTTAAACAGTGAAGTTCGAGGTGTACTGAGTTGAACCTCGAAACGATGAGTAGCCACAGTCCGTCGCGTGTTTCTGATGTGTACCGCTCTTGGTGGAATCAAATGTTCCAAGTCACTTGAACACTTCCTGTGAAAGTAGAAGAGAAACAAATCTACAACTTTTCTTCGATGTTCCAGACTATCACGTGATGTTTCTAATTAGGCGGGTGGCTCTTTTCTGGATGGAATCCAGCAACTTCAGGGTATGTTTGGGGGCAGAGCTCCAAAGAATATCTGATCAAAGCAG